ATTATTCCTCAAAAATACAACTTGCCTAATAATTCTGCACTCCCTGTATAAGAATAAGTCCATTTACTAATTCAACTTCTTTACTCAAATAAAAGCGAAAAAGTACAAGCTCTGAAATATACTCCAATTAAGAAAGTAAAAAGTTGTTGCTTGTTGGAAGATGATTCAACCAGCAGTTTTTTTACAAAGTTAACTGAACCTGGCGCTATGGAGTATGGAAGGGATTAAATGGAAGGGATTAAAGTGGGATTCAGCACATGGAGGAACCCTAAAATTGTAGTCAATAGGGAAAATAATCACAACTCAAAGAACTTTCTATTGAGAACTCCAGCAGATTTTTCACAAACTGTGATTAACTGAGCTGGGCTACTACTGCTCTAAGTTTTACTGCTCTTGTGGATTTACACAACTGAATAGATCAGTGGCACCCAAACTTTTTTTGCTTTTTTGCACTTTGTTTTACAAGAAGATCTTCAGGGTCTTTGAATTAAACTGCAGCCTCTTAGTTGAATCACAGGTAAGATCAATGAACTGTTCCTCCTTGTATGTGCTGAAGTCAGCAGGGGGTGTTGGACTGAAGGGGTCACGGATCCAGTCATATTATTTGGAATCTTGCACCAGGTAATGTCTCTGGAAATGTTTCTGAAGGGCAGACGTGTTTGTTCATGCATGGGATCACTGTATTCTGCAGCTTGTTGTCTTCAATGAATGATTTCAAATTCTCAAATGAGTCCACGTTTCTATCTTTCACTCGTTGCTTCCACATTTCAAGTTTTCTGACAAATGATGTGACTTTATCTGTCAGATGTGGGAGGTGAGTGTTCCTGCCCTGCATCTGTAAATTTAGTTCATTGAGTTTCAGGAACATGTCACTGAGGTATGCCAGTTTCATGAGAAAGTTGTTACAGTTAAATTTGTTGGTAAGATCACTGCCCTCTTTCTTCAAAAAGCTGCAGATCTCATCTCGCAGTTCAAAGACCTCTCTCCTTCCCACATGACAGCCATTGGGACTCGCTGTGATACAAAACGGCTGTGTAGTTGGAGCCCATTTCTTCACACAGTGCCGAAAAAATCTGGGCTTTCACAGGTCGTGTTTTGATGTAGTTGACTGTGGCGATGACATCAGTCATTACCAGTATGGGCCCATGTATAAAAAAGTTATAGTATTACTAGTAATAGACTGCAGCGAGAACTGCCAGCATCTGAGCCAGACTCTGTCTGTCTCGCTCATCATGGTCACCTAAATGCACAGTAATGGCAGGTTTTGTAATAAGGCAGATCACGCTAACATAATATGCACTGTTAGTTGATTATTTACCTGCCGCATTAACGGGAGAAGACGTGCAAACGTTACCGCTGCTGCTGGGTTGAGATTCACGAGTCCGGAGCGGAATTAAAAACACGACATTCATTTAAGGTCATTGTGCGTTTTGTGAGAAAATGCTTTTGCATATTCGTAGTGTTTCCTCCCTTAAACAAAATATCTACTTTATACTTTACAAGTATTGCAAGTTGCCCTGTTGTCATCTGTTCTCGAAAAGTACAACCAAACTTTTGAGCGTTTGAGCCGCCATGTTTCCTGCCAGGTAAATGACGCTCCGCAACGTGGTGACGTCATTCGGGGAAACTGGAATCGATAAGGGAATCGTTTGCAAAAATGGCAAACAATTCCAAGGAATTGAAACAGTGGGAACCGGTTCTCAACAAGAACCGGTTTTTGATACCCATCCCTACTCATTACCCACCGTTGTGCAGGTGAAGCCAAGCGCAAGAAATGCTTCATCATATTTTCTGCTTTTTTGTTTGGAAGGAAGTGGGTTTGTATGCATATTTGGTGATGCTTCAACTTCTGCTTTTCGTTTGTGTGCGAGCCCCGTCAAAAACCTGTCCATTATGCTAGCTAGCAGAGTTCTTTTTTTTTTTTTTTTTGGTTAATTCATACCAAAAATTGCAATTGCTCTGCGCCCTAGACAGTTTCTGTTACTTGGGTGGTTCATTAACAACTAAAGCACAACATTGCCTAATTACCACAGACCTTAAGAAGATATATAAATTGTACTTTGGCTGTCCACTGGGTGACCAGGATAAATCTTGGGGTCAACATTTCTCCTGCAACAGTTGTTCCAGTGGACTTGCTAACTCTGCAAAAAGCAACAATGCTATTTGCAATCCTGATGGTGTGGCAGAAACCGTGAGATCATCTCAATGATTGCTATTTTTGCCATGTGAAGACTTAGAGACTTAGAGACTTAGAGCTATTTATTGTCATTGTGCAGTTTCTTGCACAGCGAAATTGGGTAGCTAGACCACAAAGGTGCAAAAGTAAGAAGAAGAGAAACCAATATACAATGAAGGGGGGAAAATAAATAAATACAATAAAAAGCAGTGTATATGTATACATATATGTGAGTGAAACTATATACAATGGTGTATGTGTAAGAAACATTGAAATAGACTGGGACCAAAATATTGCACATGAGCCAAAAATATTGCACAGAACATGGAAAGACTTAGATATTGCACATAGATGATCAACAGCACTGTCAGAGTGGATGTGTTGGGGAAGTCTTTACACATTCTTAGTTTGCATTAAGAGTTCTGACAGCCCACGGGAAGAAGCTGTTCTTTAGTCTGCTGGTTTTGCACCTGATGGATCTGAGCCTTTTTCCAG